GTAAAACCACATTTATTTTTAATCTTACCTCAGTATGCCTCAAATTCCAAATTTCTGTAGTGTTCTGTAATGAGTTCCTGTGTACTCATTATTGAATGGAAGGTCCAAAACCTGTCATTGTCCTTTTTTATTTTATTTTATTTTGTTTTACCTCTTTGGGCAGGTTCAGCCTCAGTTCACTCTTTGGAACTGCTGCTCAGAGGCCTCCAAATTCTGGGCACCTGTGTGTATGCAGCCAACTCTCAGTGACCACTTTTAATGTTTCCATCTCTCTCTCACTTTCCCTCTCTTCTCTCTTCTCCTTTGAATTTTCTGGTTATCCGTTGTCGGTGTAAGTCCTCGACATTGCTCATATGATTAAACTGGAGCTAGGAAGACAAGCTGGGGAGAGAGAGATTGAGAAAATGAATGTGAATGAAGAGAGAAAGAGTGCGCAAGACCAAGACTGGGCAAGGCAGTGCACACAAAGCCGTGTTTTCTAAAGTTGCAATGGAAGTTATATGTGGGTTTATTTCTCATTTTGCATTGTCCTTTTTTCTCTCTACCACTAAGAATAATTGAGTTCACCATGCACATCTTAAACACATATGCACAGAATCAGATATATTAATATAGAATGTATATATATGTTTCTCATATATATATAATCTAGTGTTTAGAAACCCATTAGGCTATGTTGAATGTGCTTTATGACTAGAGAAAATACACTTTGCAGATTTTCCTGGGGATCACAATTATGAGAGAAGGGGACTTTTTTTTAATGTGAGTTCTACTTCCGGGTATAACTTGATAAACTACCATATTTTAACAATAATTCCATTCTCAGTATAATTAATAGAAAATTAGTTTCTAAAAGTAAAAATTGGGTCAGAAATGGAGATTATTAAAATGTACAATTGCAGAAGCCTGACCCTGCAAACCCCATTTATGCATCTGAGTTCCAAAATGCTTTTGAGTGCTTGATGACTCACAGTGGCTTCTTCCTCTGGCTGGTTTAGTGTAGGCAAGAGGTTAGCCGGCTAGGGGAAATTAAAACAATGTTGTACATTATATTGTTACCAGCCATCGAAAAGCCTATTTTGTATGCAAGACAGCAATGCTGAGATATATGGAGAGCCCTAGGCTAAGTACAGAAGATAATTACATTTGGAATTTTACTGAGTTAAGTCATTTACAGCTTCAAATAGTTGCAGAGAAAAATCAGCCAAAACACACTTAAACTTTTTGTTGTGACTTTTCAGGATAGAAAGGATTTTTTTTTAATTAGTTATCATCTTATATGACAAATTACATTTTTTTAGTAGGATTTTTCTCAAAACTTATTTTTGTTTAGCCAGTTAATATTTTTCCATTCAAATTTGGGATATAAACTTATTAGAACAGTAAGATATTTATACAGGAAAAGGGCACATCATAAAATCTCAGCATTTTAAAACAAGTCTTTGGAAACATCTTTAACATGTTTATTGAGAAGAAAAAAAAAAGTAATAGATTTAACCCACCCCGACAGTTCCTTTATGATTAAGACACAGCCCTTGACAAACTGGACTCAAAAGAATAAACTCCATGCCTACTCCTACCTGAATTTGTACACGTTGAGGGTGGTATTTATAAAGTAATACAAGCTCCTGCATTTATTTATTTGATAACATTAAATTCTTGATGGGCTAAAATAAATTGTTGAGTAGAATTGTCATGGCTTGTCAGGTAGCCGTTCTAGACTACAGATTTGTGTTTTTGGCCATTGTTTAATTAGTCAAGAACTGAGCATTTATTTCCACAAAAAGAGGTCAGGAGAAGGAAAAGATTTAGACCATCATCAATAAGTCAAGTGTTGATCTCCTGGCAGCTTTCATGTTGTTTTCTTGGTGGGTGTGGCCGAGAAGTAGTACAAACATAAGGATTCTTTGATTATTTATAGATTTCATTTGTTTCTAGATTTCCTTTTATCCTTCAGCCCTAAATCAAACAGAAGGCAGGTTTTTCAACTTGTGGTGGACACCAAAGTTGACCTGGCCAGAAGTTAGCACAATATGGTCATTACCTGTGATGTTCCTTGTAATGTTTTTGTTGGGGAATTTGCCGTAATGGAGGAAGGGACAGGCTAATTCTGATGTGTTCTGTTTCTGCAAAGCTTGAGGGAATTGTCAGAGTGATGAGGTAGACCTTGTTGAGAGCAGGGATTAGCAACCTACAGATCTCAGGCCAAATCTCACAAGCTAAGGAATGTTTTCATACTTTAAATGGTTAAGGGAAAAATCTAAAGAACATTATTTCATGACTGGTGAAAATGCTAGGAAGTTCCAATTTCAGTGTCTATACATAAAATTATATCAAAACACAGCCATACCCATGCCCACTCATTTACTTATTACCTGTGGCTGCTTTTGCACTACGATAGGAGAGCCAAGTAATTGAAAGTGAATCTACATGGCCTGCAAAGCTGAAAATGTTTATGATCTGGCTCTTCCAGAAGTTTGCCAAACACTCCTGGTCAAGAGGATCAGAAAAACTATTTGTATTACAATATTAGCAACTTGTCCCCTTAGGTTCTGGCTGCCTAAAGTTCTGCTCACCCCTTTTTCTCTCTTCCTTCTTAGCCAGGGTGTATAAAACCAGTCTAGTCTCCACGTGGATCAAGTTTCCCTACTAGCATTTTCATATAACAAGGACCTGCCACTTTTGGAGGTCATGTTTCCATGAACAAGGAATATTCATTTTTCACTCTTCCATTCATTCATCCACCCACCCATCCATTCATCTATCCACTTACTCATTTAGCAAGCATTACTTAGAACCTGTCAGACAGTAGGAATCTTGCTGGAGCTACTGCAAAGTACAGTGATTAAAACGGATAAAGCTGCCCTCCAAGCCCTTATACTCTAGAAGGAAGAATAGACTACAAAATAATTTTCTAGTGAGACTGTCCATTCATGGGGCAGTGCTAGCTGATACTAACAAGTTCTTGAGAACACTAGAAATTTACTCAAAAGAGAGTTTCAATGCTAGAAAGGGGCCAGGCCAAAGCAGCTTGTATCCATTAATTATCATTCAATCAGATGCAGTAGATAAGAAAATGTTAGCAGTTTTTAGTATTTAAAGAACCCTTGCCCTGAGATAGAGTTAAGAGAAGCCTTAACTCAAGGATTTGATTGAGAGTCTTTTGAGCTGCAGACCCTAGCACATAAGGGGGCATTTCGGACACAGTACAGTTATACTCGAAGGAATCTATTCTTTATAGGCTCCCCCCTTTCTCTGCAGCTCAGCATTGCTAGGTTTGTGCTATTCCATTTGCCACTTATTGCACCAGTGTCTAGAAACATACTTTCTAACTTAACTACCAGCCATTGTGCCTATAGAATCTGAGTTATTAGGGCAATCGGGTCCCTCCAGCAGCAGGAATACTTTAAAGAGATGTGCTTGTCCTCAAATAGCCTATTTCTGTTTCCTGTTGGCATCATCCCTCCCTTGTTCTCTCAGCCACAGACTGATATGTTACCTCCTTTAGAGGAGATGCGCTGCACATGACTGACCCAAGGGCTGCTTTGCTTTTCTTAAAGCATTTATTAGTCCAGGAAAAACTTGAACCTCCAAGTATCTCTCAAAGTATGTCATAAAATTATCATTGATTAACGTGAATTTGAAAAACATTTGTACCACTTAGCACTACAAGAAAGAGCAGTTTCATTTTTATCAATTCCCAGGGGGCGATGCTTGCTGTGTTAGAGTGGAGGAGGCAGAATCTCCCCTGCTACCCAGACTCTCAAGACGTCCCTTTGCGGCATGGTACTTAAGTGTTCACAACTGGTAGAGGGTAGACCACACATGTGCCCCCATAGTACAAACAAACCCAGTAAGCTCAGATTGGATCTTACCATATACATCAATGGAGGCTCATGGTATCTAACCTAGTGGATCATCAAAAAAGGATTCCAAAGGAGAATTCAGAGGGCACAGTAGCAGTAGAAGCAACCAAAGCTGGTGAAGGTCACGTAAGAGCTGTCCTCTGTACCTAGACAGCCCCCTTGAATCAAAGCCCCGGAAACCTTTTCTCTTACCCAAAATGGAAGGTCCTTCTGTCTCTGATCTACCAGTCAAACTTCCCTAAAGAAAAATGATGCAATTTTTCAAAAATAACTAACTACTGTTAGCCATAGGGGATAGTGTCTAGAGATGTTCCCCTTCATAGAGCTATCTGTCCAATACTACATTTGAATTAAATTCAAAAGCCTTTAAGGCTGAACTGGTGATTTCAGGCAGCCGGGCAGAAATAAAGACAATGGGTTATGAAGATTGACTTAGACTATCTAATCAGCACTGTGCATGAGAGCTGTCCTGTTCCTGTGTATTTGAAATAGGACTTGATTTACAAAACCAAAGTTTTAATAGAAATTTCAATTACAAATGGTAAGGTACACCTATATTTGTTAGATTTTTGTTGAAAGATGTAAAATATATGGTGGATGTTTTCTCAGCGGTAGAATGCTTATGCACAGCATGTTTAACAGAGAAGGCTTGGGTAATTTCATTCTCTTGTTGCAACCTTCTACTGGTCTCATTGAGAGAAGAGTCAAGAAGACATCTCAGTGGACCTTCTGAGCCTTTTCAGACATTTCTTACTGCATTTCATTATTGCAAAGACAGTTAACATTTTTAAACATTTTACCAGTGGACCCCAGCTGTTACCTGGGGCCTAAAAGTGTAAACCCTGAAAAGTGTGTGAGATCCTCATACTATACACGTAGATACCTAAGAGTGAGACAGACACCACAAAAATCATCTGGACCAATGGCATACATGGCTTTTTGAAGTCAGGGAATGTAATAAGATTTTACCTGTTCTTTTTTGACAGATTCTTCTGGAAGGATATAGAGATGAGGATATGAGTTAGAATTGGAGGGGAGAAAAGTTCCCATAATCAGTATACATAATCTTATATAGGTTATGAAATGTGCAGCCTTCCCTCCACCCCCACTACAACAGAGAGACAGAGACACAGG